TGGAGCTAATTACAGAAACTGCCCATGAGGTTGTGCAGCATCAGTACCCTGGTTGTGATAATGTACTATTGTTTTGCAGGATGTTACCATGGGCAAAGTGTGTACCACAGTATCTCTTACACTTGCCCATGACTACAATTATATAAAGATAAAAGGCTTAATTACAAATTTTATTAAACATCAATAAAACTAAAGGAAAAATATCCACAATGTACAAAATGTCTAAATCGTAAATGAAGATGGGATCTTGTGCTTGAGGAGAGCTTGTGCATCCTGGGCCCCTCCTTCTGCTGTCCAACCCTCCTGTCTCACATCCAGGCACCATAAACCCAGGGGACTGGCGCAGCCTCTCCTCGCCCTCCGGCCCTTGGAAACATGGGTAACAACACCTGCTCTGACAGGTGTTTGGGGTCCATGCAGGGCTCACGCTGCACATGACCATGTGGTGGAGGGAAGGAAGCCCACGGCAGGAGCTTTTGTGCTGGGCCATGCACAAGACCAGTGAGTTCACAGACACAGGAAATGGGCCGAGTTTCCCCGAGTGGAGGATGAGAGGCGAGTGACTGCCAACGGGCACCAGGTCTCCTTTCAGGGAGAGGTTTGGGACAACACGCTGGCCGCACAGCTCTGTGGATGCACCTCAGGCCACTGTGTGCTCCTTTCAAATGGCTGGCGATTAGCTCTATGTCATGTGACACACCTCTGTTGGAAAAGAGGAGAAGGAGGACGAAGCCAAATGAGGTGCCATTTGGAAAGACTTACATCAGGTCAGGCAGTGCTAGGTGCACCACCAACAGCAGCTACTCGTGTTTCTACCCTACAATGATTCCTTCCGGTTATTTAGCGCCTTGGTTCATCTCCCCACAATAACCTCACCAGTGGGCATCATTTTTATACCCGTTCTACAAATGACAGACAGTGCCCAGTGAGGGCAAACAGCTTGGGCAAGGTTGCACAGCTGACCTTGGACTCAAACCCAGATTTCTGATTTGGGGTTCAGCCCTTTCTATGCAACCACCACAAGCTGGATGTCTGCACCGGGAGGACAAGAGGCACTCAGAGTGTGGCCCTCAAATGGCCAAGGTGATGGAGCTTCTCCTGGGTTCACACGCGGGTCACCTGGAACATCACTGAGGGCTGGGACAGGGTGGAGTGCGGGGGGTATTTTACAGGGCAGCGGTTTCCCCGCAGGGGCAGGACTGGGCACAGGGCAGCGCTCAGGCTGGTGCAGACAGGGTGTGGGAGGTCCTGGCAGCCTCCGCAGCCCACCAAGTTCACATTTGCTAGACAAAGACACCGAGGTCCCAGCTTCTCCTGGGACTCACTCTCCGCCTTACAGCCAACCTAACGTCAGCTTTAGCAGGGCGTGAGGGCAACCTGGGATGTCCTCCGGTAGGAGCCGGACCTGGCTTGTTCAGGGCTGTGCAGGCCCTGGACGCTGCCGGCCCTGGCATCCATGAGAGACGTAAGAGGGCAGGCAGACATTAGGGCCAAGGTGGGGTTTCAGCCCCAGCAGCAAGCAGATGTGGGACAGTGCTATGTCTTGCTCTGAAGGGGCAAGAGCCCAACTGACAGCATCTGCCAGTGGTGGCACCTCATAGCCAGCTGATGGGGCTCTGGGCCAAGGGACAGAGGGAACGGGGCCTGGGGGCAGCTGGCTCAACCAGACTGCTCTGGCTCCTTACCCTTAGTTTGCCTGTCTGCAAAATGGGTACATTTGTGACCAGTGAGTAAGAGGTAGGTGTTATACCCCTGTGTCACACACTGTCTAGCCCTGTGCATGAGCCCTTTCTGCTGCTCTCTGCCAATGATTAAGGGACTCTATGTCTCCAGGGGATGTGGAGCCCAGGGAGGTGCAGCCCCTCCTGGCCCTGCGTCTGAGCCCAGCAGCTGTCTGTCTGTCCATCAGTCAGACACCCGAGGGGTGGCCTGCCCAGACAGACAGGAGGGCGGATGGCTGTGAGGCACACAGCTGTTTGCTGGGCCTTGTCGTGAACCAAACACGGTGACTGTTTAACGATTGAACCACACTAATGAATATTGGGCCAGATATTTTCGAGGCCTGTTCCGACTGATTACGCGGAGAGCTGAGTACGTCTCCCAATTACCCAGGCAATTAGGCAACTAATTAAACACTTACCCTCCGCTTCATAAACAGGCACAGGCGGGTGGGAGCGGGAGCTGGTGTGGATGCCTGTGAAGCATCGGCTGTCAGGGAGACCCACGCGTGCATGCACAGACGTTATGGGCCCGCACACACTGGGACCTCAGCAGCCCTGAGGGCAGATGGGCAGGGTTGCTGTATCCAGCCAGGCAAAGTACCTGCCCAGGTCTCCTCGGGTCAGAGTCCAGCTTTCTCAGCCTGCCTGCAGCAACCTGCTTCAGGAAGCTTACCAAGTTTGCTCCCCGCAAGGAGCTCAGCCTGCTGACCTCAGGCTCTGGGTCCCGCCTGCTGCCCCTGTGACTCCCTGTCTTGGTCACCAACTTTGGTCTGCAGGGACCACTCTGCTCTGAGACTGGGCTTCTATGACCCACTCCCAGCCAGAGGGATTGGGGAGATCTCTCTGATGGAGTCTTTGTGATGGTTTTAAAACATGGCTCCTGCTGGGCATAAGAGCACACACCTGTAATCCCAGCATTCTAGGTGACTGAGGCATGAGGATTGCAAGTTCCAGCCCAGCCTGGATAACTTAGAGACTTAGTGAGACTCTGTCTCAAATTCTTTTAAAAAAAAGGACTGGAAACGTAGCTCAGTGAGAAGCTATGGGTTCAATCCCCTGTACCACAAAACGAAACAAAACGAACAAAACTGGCTCCCAATTAAACACAGCCCCCCTTGCTTTGACATCCTCCACCCAGTAGTCTCCACCTGCCTCGTGAGTCCTGGCTGGCTATGACAGCTGCAGGCTGTGAGGCTGGGGAGGTGACACCCTGTACCCTATCTGGGTCAGAGGGGCCTCTGTCTTCCCCGACACACTGCTGTTCAGGGTCCCAAGCCCAGCACACGCGCACACACACACACACACACACACACACACACACACGCACCCTCAGACATTGGACTCAGGGTACTTTTGCACACGCTCCTGCCCCAAGCAGGCCCATCCTGAGATCTATGGAGCTCTTGTCCACCAAGCACTGCATCCCTTCTCTCGTGACCTCCTCTTCCATGAGGGCAGGTTTTCCTTGTTCCTGGCTCTGCCTGATTCCTTTCCCACCCACTCCCAAGACTGGGCGGGGAGCCTGACAAACAGCAGGTACACCATCAATGCCTGCTGGATGGACCAACTTAGCCAGCCCAGGGCCTCCAGGGCCCAGTGCCACCTCATGTCCGCGCCAAGAGGAAACTGCCCGGGAGCCCAGGTGCATGGCCTCCATCGCCAGCACCCAAGGATCAGGGTGGGCAGTGAAGCCTGTGAGGACCACAGGTGTTGCTGGGAAGGTGCTTATAGGTGGCTTTAACTCAAAGAATTGTCCCTGGCCACTGCATGGCCCCTCCAGAGACCTTGCCACAGACTCCGGCTTGCCTGCCAGCCACATGGGCCAGTACCTCAAAAAGTGTCCCTACATGTATTTCTATTCTATGTATGGCATCATTGTATTCATATCTATTGTATATACATAAAACGTGCAGTGAAATCCATAATATAATACATAATAACAAATGTGATAGACATAATGACACGCTTTACATTCTCTCCATTGGTCCTCAGTGATCAGTGGCCCTCACTGATGCAAGCACCTTCTCTTCCTGTCTTCACTTAGCAGGTGCTGGGCCGGGGATTTAGCTCAGTGGTGCTGATGCTTGCCTTGAAAGCACAAGGTCCTGAGTTCAATCCCCGGTACCAAAAAAAAAAATCATTTATCAGGTGTTTACTGAGCACCTACTGAATGCCAGGACCCACCCCAAGGGCTGGCACACACAACTGAGTGCAGGGAGGGGTGCAGAGGAGATAAACCTTTCCAAACACTGATACCTCAGCATCGTGCAGAACTGTACCCTGGGAACTGTCCTCAGGAGGAGGAGCTCAGAAGCCTTCAGAGAGGCTAACAGAAGGATTGAAACTGGACAGAGATCCAGGAGGGCTTCCCTGAGGAAGTGAACCTGGGGTGGCACAAAAGGAATATGTGTATGAATTAAGAGCAAGGGAGCAAGCAGGGTAGCTGCACGTGCAAAGGCCCTGTGGCAGGAAGGTGGGAGGGAGGATGACCACAGAAGAGAAGGGGTCTTTGGTACAGCATCAGGGACAATGGTTGTGGTCAGGTCTTTTTTTTTTGCTACCAGGGATCGAACTCAGGTCTTTGCGCCTGTACAGCAGGTGGCGAAACCACTGAACTAAATCCCCGGCCCTATCAGGTCTTGACACTATGGCCCTTCCCTATGGTAGGTGTACTTCCAAAGTTGGCCACAGCAGAATCTCCTGTCCCATGTCCTATTCTAGAAGCTTCTTCACCCCTAGGAGAAGATGGAGGTCTCCCTCTCTGTCTGGAGGTGGGCCAGATTCAGTGCCTTGCTTTTTATGGACAGAGCATAGCAAGAGAAGGCTCTGGATCCCAGGTAAATGTCACCTGATGTCACACAGGGAAGGACAGGGCCACCTGCCACCCAGAGGGCCTTGCCTGGAGCCCCCTAACACAGCTGGCCCAGCCTAGCGGAGGCAGCTCTCCCTTTATCTCTGGGGTCTCCTTGTCTTCCCAGCCTCCCTGAGACTGGGCACATCCCAGGGCCCAGTCAGGGCCAGGGTGCCCCAGGCCTCACCCCGCTCCCGTGTGCCCACCAGGCCCTGCCTCGAGGCTGGGAGGGAAGCCAAGCCAGACAAAAAGCCTCTGTTTGGGCCCAGCTGCGCGAGGCTGATATTTATGGCGGGCTGGGAGTTTAAGAAAACAGGGGCCTTCCGTCCACGGGCGAGCGCGGCCGGCGGGGGAAGCAGGAGCTAATTAAATCTGTGCAGGCTGGGGCCACAGAGGCCGATTGTGCGGCGAGAGGATGTTAATGCGCATTTTAAATATTTATTGTAACTGAGGTAGGTTACGAAAACAGACATCCCTCCTTTCAACACTCCGAGCGTCAGATTTAGGGGCTTGTCTGCCTGCTGAGTGATTTCACAGCAGCCGGCAGGGCTGGGAGCCCATCCATCACATCCGCGAGAGGCCGGGATGGTGAAAGATTAGCGGGCTGATTTATGGGTGCGAGCGGAGGGCACAGCCACACACCTGTCTGGGCTGGTGGGCAGCGAGGGTGCCCTGGCCAGGCCCTGCCAGGCGGGATGCTCGACTCCACATCAGCCACTGGGGCCACCAGGGCCAGGCCGGTGTTTCCAGGTACCTCCTGAGCCTCTCTGGGCCGCCCTTTCAACCTCCATAATGTGATAGCACACCAGGCCCCAGGCGAGGGTGCTGGGTGCTGCGTGGGACTTTGGAACGTGGATTGTAGGACGCTGGCTGTGGGAAGGAAAGCCAGGTGTGCAGTGCATGTCGATCCCATGGTGCCAATGCCCCACCGTGGTAAGATTGAGCTACCAGGCTGTTGGTTGCTGTGCAGATCCAGGCAGAGTGGGGCACAGGAGACAGACAGGTCCCCAGGCTGGCAGGAGTGGCTCCAGGGCCTTGAAGACCAAGTGTCCAGTTGGAACCTCCCCATCCTTCCTTCTGTGATGTCCTGATCCCCTGCAAGGTGCATGGATGGTTCCCGGGCTGAGTGATCAGGCCTTAGGGGAGGGAAGGGCACAAGAAGGCCAGGAGCAGGGGCAGCTGGCTGGAAGGGCAGGTCCACTCGATTTGAGAGGGCTGGGGTGCTGGGGTCCAGGCCAGCAGGTGATGGGTCTGCTGAAGAGTGGAGAGCCCACCTGGGTCTGCCCTTGCAGGGGGTATCTGGACACACCCACCCTCCTGCATAACCTAGCACTTGCTCCGCTGAGCAGCCCTTGGGGGTCCTGAAGTCCATAGCATCCACTCCAACAGCCTTCCTGCTGCATGTTCTCCAGAGCTGCCCCTCCCATGCCCCTAGGACGGCCCACTCACTGCCGTAGCCCACACAGGGCCTCCTGGAATTGACCTCCATCATGGGGCTCCCCCCTTCCTCCCTCCTGCCCAGCAATCCTGCGTCCTCTTTCCCTCTTGTGCCAGGGCCCCTGCCACCACATCCCTCTCTCTGTGCCCGCAGATCCTCACTGTCCATCCCCCACAGCAAGCTTGGGGCACCCCTCCCTCAGTGCTGTTATGCACCTCCTGGCCTCACCAGCATCCCTTTTGCATGTTTCCTTCAGAACCCAGGAGTCCAGCAGCATGGGGGGCAGGATGCTGATGCCCCATGTCTGGCCGAGGTGGGGCAGGCCTTGCTGTCCTGGGTCCCAGACAGACAGCCGCACGTGCCGCCCTGCCCAGCAGGCTCGTTAGCGTGTGGGGAGGGAGCGAGCAGAGACTGTGGGTCGATGGTGATGGGGCTGCCTAGCGTGGGCGGCCCCCTGCCTACAGGATCAATTATCCCACATCCCAGGCCCTGAGGAGCTGGGGCAGGCACCCTGTGGAGGCCCCACCGGGCTCTCAGGATGGGGCAGGGAACAGCCCCGTGTGCCCCAGGCTGGTGCCACCCTCTGGCCCTCCCAAGGCAGCCCTGGAGCAGACCAGACAGGACCGTGTTCTATGCTAAAGACCACACAGAGGACCAGGCATGGGAGGCTGCTAATTTGTCCCCAGGGGCCAGGTGGGCCTGGTGAGGTCAGGGCAGAACTCTGGGTTCCTCCTAGCCTGAGAGGGGTCCGAGTCAAGAACAGGGTGGTGCTGATCCTCTTGGAGACTCACCTGACTGTATGTCCAGCGTCCCTGTGGGCTGAGTGTGGCCAGGCAAGGCTTCCAAGGACGGGCCTTTCTGGAGCTATTGTGGAGGATGGCTTGGGTCAAGGCTGGTCTGAGTCATGGTGCATAGCTGCTGTCCTCCCACACACCCCCTTCTGGGTAGTGATGTGGGAAGAAATCCCACCTTCTGTGTAGCCCATGTCCCTTACCTATGGGTCAGTCTCGTGCCCAATATGGGGTGTGGGGTGCTCTGGGGTGCTGTGGATGATGGAGGACTAGCTCTGAGCCGAGGGATGTCTGGGGGACCCTGGGGGCTGAAACACTTTAGGGTCCCTACCAAACCTGGGGGTCAGAGACACAGGACTCACTAGCAACTGTTCTGCTCTGGAAGGTGACAACTGAAGTTACTCAGCAGCTCCCAACTGGGTCTGGGGATGCCCAGGCGGGGACAAATGAAATGGCTCAGCTGGGACAGCTGAGGGGGTGCCTACCTGTGCTAATCAGCTGGGCAGTTCCTGTAATCAGGTTTCTCCCAGCAAGAGGATCCCAAGGCCAATGAGGGAGAAGCCCTTTTATGACCTAATATAGGAAGCCCAGAGCACCAGCTCTTCCTTGTGCTATTGGTCAAGCCAGTCACTTCTCAGGGGAGAATGAAATTCTGCCCTGTAATAGGGGCAGCCACAGCCTCTTAACAGAGGCAGTCCCGATTTCATAGGAGGATGCCCCTGCTTATTTGCAGAAAAATTGTATCAAGTATTTGGGGGAAACTGGGCTTCCCATCAATGAGATACTCTTGAATGACTCAGGAAATGAGAAATTTTTTTTCTTTTTTTTAAACCCAAGTCCTTCACACTGAGCTACATCCCCAACCCTTTTTATTTTTAACTTTTGAAACAAGGTTTCATTAAATTGCTAAGTCGTCCAAAGTAGGTTCAAACTTGTGATCCTTCTGCCTCACCAGACCAGACCGCTGAGATTACAGACATGTACCACCATGCCTGGCATGAGAGATTCTCTTTGCAATATTTTGTATGAGTTTCAGATTGTTTCAGAATAAAAGAAAATAAATCCACACTCGCCCCACCTTAGGGGTGGCCCCCTGCACTAGCCTGGCCTCCACCCCCACCAAGCTCTCTAAGTCCTAAGTGTCCTTTGTTCCAGCTCCGGGTGTCCCTAGCCCCAGCTTGCTTTTTACCCTCCAGGTATCTCAGATGCAGATGCAGATGCAGACACACATCTGACAACCCCACGCTGGACCCCAGCAAGCCAAGAGGAGGTTGCCAATGTCCCCTGTTACAGCTTCATGATTTTGCAGAAAAGCAGAAGAAAGAAATGGACCAGCAAGGCTAGGGATTTAGCTCAGTGGTTTCACTGCCTACTGCGCAAGCTGAAGGACCCGAGTTCGATCCCCGGTACCAAAAAAAGAAAAAAAGAAATGAACCAGCAGCATCTTCCAGAACAGCGCGTCCAGAGAGATAGATATAAAGCATGCTGTGAGTGGAAGTTTTCTAGAAAACTAAAAAGCCAAAGGAGGTCTGGAAGTATAGCTCAGTGGTAGATGCTTGCCTACCTGGTGTGAGGCACTGGGTTTCACCCACAGCATCACAAATGACAAAAAAGGTCAAAAGAAATAGGTAAAATTATGTTAATAATATATTTAATTGGCAGGCATTGTGGTATATACCCACTCTAGAAGGCTGAGGCAGGAGGATCACAGGTTTGAGCCCAGTCTGGGCAACTTAGCCACTTAGTGAGACCCTAGCTCAAAATAAAAAATGAAGCTGAGCCTTCTTCCAACACCCAGGCGGATAGAGTATACCAACATGGCGGCCCTCGTGTCCCTGGAGTTGAGGAAGGCCTTCACAGAGCTTCAAGCCAAAGTTATTGACACTGATCAGAAGGTGAAGCTTGCAGACATTTGGATTGAACAGCTGAAGAGAATGAAAGAAGCATGCACATCCTACAGATAAAGAGATTATGACTTTGGTAGATGAGACTAACATGTCTGAAGGTGTGGGGAGAATGTTTATTCTTCAATCCAAGGAGGTACTTCACAATCTGTTGTTGGAGAAACAGAAAATAGCAGAGGAAAAAATAAAAGAGCTAGAACAACAACAATAAAAATCCTACCTGGAGTGAAGAGTCGAGGAAGTGGAGGACAACATCCGGGAGATACTGATGGCATGAAGGGCACAGGGAGCCTCTGGGGGCTACTCTCCCTGTAGACCCCCCTCATCTTGGCAAGGGCAGAAGGACCTGTGTTGGGTGGCAGCCTCCCGCTAGCCAGATGGACGTTTTATCTGGTTGGGCCAGTGACCAACCCACATTTCTATATCGCCCTGAGCCACTTTTCAGGTTCCACCCTAGGTAGTCCCTCATCTCTGCCCGCCACCGCTGCTCTGGATACTCCTCTCTCCTGAGGTGATCCATGAACTCCCAGGACAGGGAAGATGGGTGTGCTCTGCCTGCGCCTGCCACCAGGTGAGCTAATCAGGCCAATAAAAGATTTCTGTCCCACTCAAAAAGACAAAAAGAAAAAAGAAAGAAAGAAAAAAAGAACAGGGCCAGGATGTAGCTCCACCCAAAGGCCCTGGTTCGATCCCCAGGACCACATCATCATAATAATAACATATTTTACTTAACCCTGAGTGTCCAACCCATTATCATTGCAACATGCCACAACTACAGGCAAAACTGTCACTGAAATATTCTTTTCCTGCATCTGAGTATGCTCTTACCACCACACAGGACAGCATAGCCCATCCAGACATGGAGCTCCGGGGCCCCCTTGGGACAGTGCCGGTGTGTGGGAGGCCCCAGGTCCCTGGGGAAGGCCAGGGAATGGTGGCCCCGCATTGGGTTTTGTTAACCTCAGCCTCCGGGGCTGTGGCCCCATTTCAGAGGTAAGGGTGAGGCAGTGAGGGAGGAGCAGGGGGAAGGCACCAGCATAGATGCACGCTGAGCCAGGAGAAGCACAGACACAGGGGGACAGTGGTGGCCCCTGGGTTCCCCTGTCGATAGGCCTGGCTCCCACCCACAGCCCTGGCCAGGCCTCCACACCCCCTGTCCTGCAGCATCCTGTGTGGTGGGTCCTCCGCGCTCTCTGGTGTCCCAGCCCAGGGCAGTGCTGACCCAAGAGCTGCAACTGCTTTTAATCCTTAGCAAAATAGCAAACCCAGTTTAGAGTCTCAACATGCAAACCCCACTTAGAGAGGAGCTGGGCTGGCCTTGCTGTGCCTCTATCACGGGCTGGTGGAGGGGCCCCGCCTGGATCCCCGAATCTCACTGGGGTCACACCAGCAGCCAGTGCCGGCTCCAGAAAGACAGGCCAGCTGGGTTGTGGGCAGAGGCCTGTGGGGCTGAGCCTCATGTCCCCGCCCAATGTCCCCACCCAATGTCCCCACCCAAGTGGTGCCCAGGCCAGGACTGCCCGCCCACCCTGGTGCTTCAGAGCAGATGGCCATCTCTCACTGGGAGGGGCAGGGAGACAGTGACACTCTACCCTAGAGCCTCCCTGTCCTCCTGTTCTCGTCTCTGACTTCTAGAGAAAGATCCAAGGGTCTGAAGGGGCCTTTACCCAGGTCACCAGTGAGCAGGGACACTGGATCAAAAGCCAGATGTGGACAGTAGCATCTCTCAGGCTCTCAGGAGCCACAGGCCAGAGAGGAGGGTACTGACACGAGGCAACAGCCCAGCTTGGGCAATGTGGGGGTTCACTCAGGCCTCTGACCAGTCCCTCTGTCCCCAGAGCTCCCCTGGAGGCCAAGCAGGAACTCCAGTGGCAACCTGGGGCACCTGGCTCCTGCCCTGGCCCCCAGCTCCAGTGGGAGGCAGGCACATGGGAACTGGCCACAAACCAGCTGGGGCGGTTGTTCCCGCAACCTCCTTGAGCTCTGCTTTTAGTCTTTGCTCCGAGACCAATTGATTTCTCACTGCCATGGCCTGGCTGGGCCTTCTGACGTAGGCAGCAGCATTAAAAATGGGCGAATGTCATCATCAGCCACCCCACCTCACCCTCGTCCCAGTCTCCAGTCCTGGCCAGGGTAAGGCTCCTTCCCCAGCCTCAGGCCTCCCTGTGCACACCCAGAGGGCTACTTGGGCCCCTGGTCCATACAATGTCACGCACACCATGTCTGTGTACCAGGCTCCTGGCTGCCTCTTCATCCCAGCTCCCAGTGGCCCAGCTGCCCTAGGCTCCTGGCATCCAGGTGGACACACACTCGGGTCAACAGGACACAAGGGAGACCCCGAGAGTAGGCAGGCTTCCCACTGCAGGTGGCCTCTCCCTCTCCACCTCTCCCCTGTGAAGTCACAGGGTAGCCAGGCTGGGAGAAGGAGCCGGAGGCCTGAGCGACAGAATGGAGAGAAGCCATGGGCAAACTGCAAGTTGAGCAAGAAACTCACTACACCTCCGTTATACTCAGACTTGAGGATCCTTGTTTTGCCCCTCAAGGCTCTCACTCTTGTCTGTTGGTCACAAGGTGCTCTGGACCGCATGGCCCAGGCGCACACAGGTGTGGACATGGTCCAGGATCACACACGCACACGTTCACAGGTGCCCAACTCACAGAGGAAGCAGTGCCCAGGCCTGAACAGGAGTAGCCCTGGCCCTCCCGACTCCTCTCCAGATGGGCAGTCCTGGAAGGGAGGCACCAGCCTTGGCAAAGCTTGGGCCACTCAGGCCATGGGGGCTCTCATGCCACGCCCCATCTGCCTCCCCTAGCCCCTCCCCACAGCCCTGCTCTCAGAGCCCACGAGAGAGGCCAAGAACACACAAGAGGCTGCAGAGCTGGCGTGAGACCCATGGGAGCAGCTTAGCCACGATTCCCCGGGTCAGCATCTCAGCCCAGCCGTGGGTCTATCAGCCAGATGGTCGCTTCAGCAGGGAGAGAACCTGACACGCCATTTCAAACTGATTTCACGGCGGGCCTCCGGAGAGCCCCAGCGAGCCCCTGACAATCCGATCTGTTGTGAATAAATATGACAAAATTGCCAATTACAGGAGGGAGGCTTCAATGTCGTGCGGGCTCGGATGGCTGTGGCCACACGCTCAGGGGCCAGCGCCGCCAGGGGGATAGCCCAGTGGACAGACAGAGCCAAGTCCAGACGGAGGCGGTGCTGGGCTGGGGCCAGGTGCCGGGCCAGCAGGCTGGGATACGCAGCCTTGGCCAGGCGCCCCGCCTACCAGCAGGCAGAGGGGTCGCAGCTACACTGCCAGCTCTGCTGCTGTCCTCTGCCACACCCCCAAGCTCCATATTGCTTGGTTGGCTCCACAGGGAGGGGCCACTAGGTCTGGACCTCAGCAGCCTCGGTCAGCCCTACTGGCCACAGTGTTCCAGCCCAGGTCTTCTGATATAACCCTCCCCATTCCCAGAGGAGCCCCAGCTGGCCAGATGAGGAGGCCCAGCGGGCCAGAGACAGGCCAGGGCTGCCCAGCCCCCAGCGGCAGGACAGGAGCAGGACTGAGAATTGTGT